CTAAACCACTGGGACATGCAAAACCAGTCTCAACTTAGGAGTAGGCAACCCAGCAAACAAATGGCAACAGGCCCACAGGTTAAGAAAAGGCTTGACAGCTGCAGAGAGCAGCTTGTAGCATCTTATGCCCAAAACTGGCACCAGAAGAGGCCTGAACAACCAGCCAGTAAAATTTAACAAATGTGTGACCAAAAGACCAGGTGGCCAGCTAGCAAAACTGGGAAACAAATGCCTGATGCTGAAAAGCACACAAAGCACTAACAGATATGGAGGAAAATGCTCTGACAGCAAAGGGTGGAACCGTATCCTTTAAAAAAGAGCTTATGTGTACATTTGAGCAAAGGGCCATCTTTGCCCACATGGGATGTACAAGTGTTCTGTACATCCATGTGCAGGAAGTCTATTTGGAAGTAGTGGATGCATGGACACAGCTGTTAGTCTCATTATAACACATATGTAGGTGCAAGTGCATGACCCAAAAGCACACTGGCTGCTTTCGTAAAGAATGAGAGGCAAGTGGTCTTTGGAAAAGAATGACTAGATGCTCAAACCTGACCTTTGATGGTACTCAAGGCCAAACGCTAGTCTAGACCAGACTGGAGAAACAACAGAATTTGTCCCGCAGAGAATTTTCTGTGGTAGAAGTTGCTGGCTTCATACCAGGAGAAGGAAGCTTTCCAAGTGAGATGGAAACTTTACAAGAAGGTAATTTCCAAGCCTTTAAGAGCGTAGGGATGACTAGATGAGATTTAACTCCACCATTCAAGACCTGGACTGCAACAGCCAAGCTGGTAAAGCCAGCAACTAAGAAGCAAGATGGCAAACTGGTCTTTAGGACAGACGATCCAGATGAGAGGCCCACAAAGAGTCTTCTAAGAGCCTATGTCCAAGTATCATGACCTCCTGGACCAGTTTGTGCATAAGGATAAGGACCACCAGAATGCCCTTCATCTTGATCCAGCGGAGCAGATGAGGAAATGGTTTCAACAGAGGGAAAGGTGCAGATCGGGTTGTACTTATCCCACGGAGTCACCAGAGCATTCACCACAACGGCCTGGGGATCCTTGATTCTGAGAACTAACTGTGGGGGTAAAGAAAATGGAGCTTGTCTAGAGGAATAAAGACCCTGGACAGGGGCCATATCCATGGTTGAACCTCAGTACTCAAGGCGATCATCCAGCACTAACTTTTAAAGGTTTAGGATCCATCCATATCTCTGTCGGGTATGCACTATCCAGCTGGCAAAGGCATACAGAACCTGAGATGACTGTTTCCTCAGCAGGACATTGCCCAGATATCCCACAATGTGGATGCCATGGAAGGGATACAGTGCAGGAACATGGCCTAGCACCTTGGTCAAGATCTGCGGCATGGTGAACTGACCAATGAGAAAGACAACAAAATGTTGTGTGTAAACAGCAAAATGCAGGCAGTGCGGAGGTGCAAATAAGCATCCTTTATTTCCACAGAGGTAAGGAAATCTCCCAGGTGAATGGAGGCAAAGACCAACCAGGTAGATTCTATACTGAATTTTTGAACCCCGAATTTGTTGAGAACATGTAGATCCAAGTATAGGGTAAATGCTGCTTTTCTGTAGCTGAAATCCTGGAACCTTTTCTGTTCTGGTGAAGGTTATAACCCCTTGAGAGAAAAGTCACTCAAGCAGCATGAAGATCTGCCCATCTTTGCAGAGAAGCTGCCAAGTTCAACAGCATGAACTGGGGTGGAAGCAGAGAAAACGCTTGTTTGCAGCCTCAGGATACAATGTTTTGGACCAAAGCATCTAAAATATCGTGGGACCAGATGGCCTTGAAAACCAGAAGACACTTACAGCCTTTGATAAGTTGGGGTGTCCACGCATTGAGATGAGAACTTGCTTCCAGGCTTGGAGAAATTTAAAGTCTAACTTTTTTATGATTGAACTGTGTTCTGGGCTTTTATTTGGACCCCAAGACCTGAGAGAAATGAAAGTAGCTCTTTCATTGCCATCTCCTTCTGGGGCAAAAAAGGTACTCTCCCCACCACAATTTCCTTGATTTAGGTGTCCTAGGATTCTCCAAGAGGGCATGTTGATTCAAAGGGCAATTCGCACAATACACTTCTTGCAATGAAACTCCGCAGATCAAAATTCAAGCCAGTGTTCTCATGTTTACCAGGAGGCCCATCCTGAAAATCTGGCAACGTGAATCTGCTGTGCCAACAGCACAATAGTGCAAAGTCACAGGCACAGCTCTAGTTGTTGGGAGGATAGACAAGTCTGTCAATATGGATTAAAGGTCCCAAGCCATGGACTTGGACCAGACAGTAAGAACCTGGAAGAATGACATGGCTGCAATAGCAGGTTGCATATGGGAACCTGTATGGGAGAATAAGGTCCTAAAGGAGGGCCTCTAACCTCTTGTTCACATGCTCTTTAAATACAAGGGCCTCCTCCACCAGGGTCATTAGGTCTTGTTAAGACAAGAGATGGATGGGTTGGATGGGATGGGATGGATTGAAGGGGAGAAGTTTTTTTCAAGGTGGGTCCGGTCACTTTATAACATCGGCTGTAAGAGTAAATGAATCAAAAAGGTTTTTGCAGTCCGAGACATATTTAGTGAGCAAAGGCAGGTGACCTCGAGCTGGGCTAATGCAAAATGCTCTAAAGGCAAGGCACGGGTGCACTGTGTCAGTATGTACAACCTGCACCAGACGAGGTACTATCTCCATCCTCCTGTTTAAGAAGTGCAGAAGCAGTCAGGAGATATTCAAATAAGGGAGAGGATGAGATGACTCGCTTTTGTCTCCAGCAGAGTTGAAAGCCTACCCATAAATTCAGACATAGTGACTGTAAGCTCCTCCCTGGAGAAACAGAAGAAGGGGGCACCTCACAAGAGCCTGGAGAGATATCAGAGGAGGGAAGTGACTCACAATGGAGGAATTTAGGTCCTTCAGGGAAAATGTTGCAGCTCCTCCAAGCCATTTTCTGAGTGTGAGCTAGCATGGCCTGCTGACTCACCCTTCTTACACCTGTGATCTGCTAAGTATTGTGAGGGATATGTAACTAGTGGTACGTACGACTGTCACTGCAGGGCTGAAGGTGTTAACCCCTCTGTGACCACTCACAGTAAGCAGTAGACACCCATGCGCATCTGAAGAATCGCTGTGCTGTATGCAGTTAGAGAGGCAAGGCGCAGGGAACCTGGGCTGCGCATCCTGTACCAAAAAAATGGCATGCACAAGCGCATTATGCCCAATGGGAAAAAAGTTGTACACCTGCTCTCCTGATTTGAAACCCAAGGGCTTCAGGAAAAAAGGGCACTAATTTTTAAAAAGTAGAATGACTGAACTACTCTCACTGCTGGCTCCAAATGTGTATCTGCCAGAGCTCAACATTTTAACACTATAGGGACCAGAGCGATAGCACACTGGGTTCCAAGCAGGGCTGATGTCTGATTTTTCCCAATCAGCCAAGGGGAATTTCGAAAACCAAGTCCCATTGTTAGCCCTCCCAGTGAGCATAATCCTAAGGGGTCTTTAGGGTCTGGTTCTGCTTCTAGATGGACCAAGGCCCTGGAGCTGAATGGCACCCTGAGGCTGACTCATCGCATCGTTTGCCCACCTAGGTGAGTGCCAAAAGCAGGATTGAGTGGCCTAAGCAACATCACAGGCTAGCCCTGCATTTAATTCTTGGTGAAGTATGAGTAAGGTCCCACGAGGCTCAGCTGAGGATTCAACTGATCAGGAAGCTGCAGAGAAGCTGCAATGGCTACGCAGCAGCAAAGGAATTTTGCTAGAAGAGCAGAGAGGAGACACCCATTTACCTAAAGACACTAGCAAAAACTTGAGGCTTGCTGGAAGTCGGATGGGTTATATACGTAGGGCTGTCCTTATGGCTTTGTTTGCCCATCTGAAGACATCTGCATAACCCAATGGTCTAAGACTTAGTGGGGTTGATTTACTAAAACTGGAGAGTGCAAAATCTTTTGCAACTCTCCATAGAAACCAATCAGCTACCAGGGTTTTTTGTTGAAGCTTAATTGAACAAGCTGAAGTTGGGAGCTACCATGCACAACTGCACCAGATTTCAACAGTTTTAGCAAATCCACCCCAAAGTGTCTGTGTCCTGTAATTTCTGATTAAGAATGTTTTATTGCTCTTTGTGTGCCATTGGTAAGTTTCTCCACACATTCTGTTTAACACCAGAAAGTGTGGGAAAACAAGGTAGAATATGGCTATGTTTTCCCGCGCTTTTTTTTTTTACACCCATCAAAGAGATAGGAAATAGAAACATTTTCCACTACTACTTCTTCTGACACCATCAAATAGACATTGAATTGAGATTTTCCCTCATTCTTATTCTGTCAAGAGGTAGCTTAACACATCACCATTGATATGATCATTCACTGCAACTAAACCAAAGACCCTCAATTCAGTCAACTTGGTGAGTTCTTGACCACTCTGTCAAAATCCTCATCTATGGCAGAATTTTCATTGATTGCTTCTGGTCAACCAAGCAAATGTGTGTCAGAGACAGCACAAATATGTTTTTCTAGATTATTATCGATATATTCTATTACTGTGTGTTGCATCGTTCAATATTTTAATCGATTATATATCACTTGGTCTGCAATTGCCCATATCAAAATCAACCACAAATCTCTATGTGTATGGCCATCCTAAAACAATGAACTAGTTAAGAAGAAAAATCTCTCAGCTGGGAAAACAGACAACACTAAAAAGTTAACAGAGGTTCTATCCCTTTCCCAGTCTATAACCAAGACTATGTCTTCAAGAAATATAACTTCAGGAAGTGTAAGCAACAGGTACATTCTGATAACCCATGGAAACAAAGCTAATCCAATTTAATACTCAAATATATGGAAAGGTTTGAGCTTTGAGTTAAGGAGCATTTTGTATGTAAAATAGCTTATTTATGATATAATGGTGAGCTTTTCACAACCAATATGGAGTCACTGGCACCCTAGGCTACTATGAAATGTCTAAATCATATTTCCTACCTCTGAGCCATGGAGGTGTGAATACTTACCGTCCACTGCATGTAAGTCCCTGTGCTCTTGGAAACAGCTGTAATATTTGTACTTTTTGCCACAGATGTCACACGTGTAGCGAAAATTGTCTGCAAGAATGAAAATATGTATGCTAGCACGTTCAGATGAATGACTGGACACGAGCACATTGACAAGCAAGACAGCAACACAGCATGTGAGAGGCGGATGGCATTATACAGTCTGTGGGAATCATTGCACAAGGGGGTCCTAGCTCTGTAGGGGAGGAAACTAAGGAGGATTTAAAGTACACTCAGAACCACTAAGCGACAGCTCAAACCACGTTACAACGTAATTATTTACGTCAACTGCTAGAATTGATAATTGACCGCTGTATTGCATCATATAAATGGCCTGCAAATGAACATAATAAAAGAAACAAGAATCCTGCAACCAATACTATAGAGAAAGGAAGTGTCATTCATCATTTGGGCACTCTTGAACAGTAGTACACACTGTTTTATACTGGATCTTCAAATACATCATCGTCCTGGAGACCCCAAGTTGGGGTGCTATTATTAGTGGTTTATGTATGTATGGGTTCTTCAGAATTTCTATGTATGTACTGGATCGCAAGTGTCTATGTGTCATTGATCTGGAACTCTAAGAACTTGTGTTTAGGTCCATTCACACCAGATGCGGCGGAAATGAGGTGGGTGGTTATTCCAGCGCAGTCCTACCACATGACAAGGCAAAATGCCTGGTCTCCTGTGTGCGCGATTCACACGGCTGCATTGCGGTGGTGTGCCGGCACAGTGCGTGAAAAGGAATAGTGCGTGCACTACTTATTTTCAGCTCACTGCAGTGTGAAGCAACGCTTTGCACAGTGCTGCGGCCAATTTAACGTCATAAAATGTACATGTGACATTTCAATAAATTTTGAATTAAAAAAAAAAAAAAAAAAGAAGGAACAGTGAGGTACAAAGCGATGATTGCTGGTGGACCGCACCGCACGCTAGTCGCTGTTTACTGACTGCTCCTATGCAACAGAGACACTTTGATGAATGAGGCCCAATCTTTTTGTCAGTTTAGTGCAACACTATTTAGGTAAACCTGATGCAGGATAATAAAATATAGTGACCAAAATGAGTCCCTAAGCTCATTGTTTTGTGAAGTGCCTAAGACGTCCGGGGTGCAAAATATAAAAAAATGGAAAAAGAAATAGGCAGTTGGATTTTGCCTTTGCATGATACAGCCTCACCACCATCCTCCTCTACAGATGTGAGATGTTTTCAAGCTCAGCTAGTTGTTGATTCTTGAAACCTCAGAGTTTAAATATGTTGCGTGCCTCTATCCTTGGCCATCAGGTAGATGTTTGAGGCAATGCCCAGACTGAATCTCCAAAAGCATATACATATAATGGAATGCATAAAACATACAGAACTAACACATCCGATTAGCACATATGAAGAAGAGGTGGACATGGATAGGCATGACACAGAGATGGTCAGTCCAGCCAATGACAGCCTTGCAGTGAAAGCGTTCTACATCAGCTTTGATCTTTGCAATGTCTTATTACAAAAGCCTTGTAAAGTTCCAAGTAGATGCAACATAGCAGCACAGTAAATGTCTTTCTTACACAATAAAAGAGCCATGTTATGGGTTACCCTAACTTTCAACAAGTCACACAAAGCCTTTGTACATGGTGCTTGGGAAACACTGATACTCTGACGGAATTCAAAAAAATTATTTTCAAAGGCTCGGACACAAAGAACAGTTTGTATTACCTCATAGAAGCCAATTAGACCTGACCTGTAAAGTGGCGTTGGATAATAACATTTGAAATTTGGATTGACAATTGTGGGGGAATAATGAAATCTCTTAATTATAACACAAATAAGTAGTCATTATTTCATAAGGGTCAGTTAAAGTGGTAACATTTTTGTTTATCCTGGAGTGGGGCTTTAAAGCCGAACTCCAGGTTTTGCTTTTACTTTAAATAGCTTATTTTTGCCAAGCTGGCCCAAACAAACTATTTCCTTTACTAAATTGACACATCAGCTACATAGAGTATCCAGCGCTGTGTTCTGGTAGTGGTATGAGGACGTCCTGCCTGTTGCTGGAACTCAATCAAGTCAGGTTCAGTTCTTCTCAGCCATTCACAGGAAGCCTTTTAATTTTATCAATGAATACAAGGCTTCCTCTGATTGTCTGGGGTGCAAATGTTGACATCATCCTAACATTTATAGGTAAATTTGATCCAGGGAATATCTGATTGCCTCTCGGGGGATCAGGAAGGATTTTTTTTCCCATACAGGAGCAAATTGGATCATGCTTTGCTGGGTTTTTTTGCCTTCCTCTGGATCAACTGTGGGTGTAGGATTATAACTTTTTTTTTAATGGTTGAACTGGATGGACTTTTGTCTTTTTTCAGCCAGACTAACTATGTAACTATATCATCCACCTGCCTCTCTCCACCTCAGCCAACCAGAGAAAGCCTTGTATTTATTCATAAATATACCAGGCTTCCTACGAAGGGCTAAGGAACACATAGCCCAACTCAATTTTTTTCCGGCGGCGGATCAGAAACCCCATAATGAATTATTTAAAGCTGAACTTCACTCTCTCAATCAACACTGACTATTTTTTTTTAATCTTTATGAGGCTAGCATTAGTAAATAGATAGGAAAGTATACTTCCTGGTTTCAAGGCCTGGGCAAATTTTGTCATCCCGGGAGTCTTCAGGAGGGGAGGAGAGGTTTTCTCAGCTAAGCACACCCCCCTGCATGCATGCAGGGACGTATTTACCGTAAGGCAAACAAGGCGTTTGCATTGGGTGGTACTTTTTTCGGTTGGGTGACGCCGCCCCGCAGAAGAAGGGACTCACATGGCCGGTGACAGAAGATGGGGACCAGGTGAGTTCTGCCATGGGATCCGAGAGAGGCTGCGGGCTACTGGAGGATGTAGGTAGAGGCCGACTCTCATTCCCGCACAAGGGCAACACTGGGGATGGCTGGCTGCTTTCATTCTGGAAAGGTGCAGGTGAGTGCTGGAAGAACGCATCTCTCTTTCTGTGGCTCCATGGATGGCCGGCTGCTTTTTCTATCTCCACAGCCACAGCCAGAAATGTTTACAGTAATTGCATGGATGCATGCGTGATTTTGCTTTGAATGTTAAAAATGAATCAAAAAGCAGTTTTGTAAAGTAAAATGGTTTATTTGTGAACGCCTTCATAAACCAAGACCTATAAAATGTCAAAGAACATTTTAAGAAAATAATTGCTTAACAAAACACAAAACATCACTACATGAGAGTAGACGGAACTAGCCAACTATCCAATTTAAATTGTGTCCTAAAATGTCCAACCAAGAGTAAAGCCCTGTACACACGACGAGAATATCGGATGAATGATCACCTGGTTTTTTTTCGTCTGCTAGTCGCACATCGAAAGAGAAAAAGTTATTAAAGATACGAAAATTCTCCTATGAAAGAAAAGAATTTTGAAAGTGATGTCATGTATTGTATTGGTATTGTATTTTCGGACGACTACTGTACTGATTAAACAAACAATTTTTGCGCTTGTCTCTTCGGATATTGTCGCACAAATTGTTGTGATTGGCTCTCGAAAGTTGTGTACTAACGATCCGATTATTGGACGATCGGTCCTCGTGCGAAAATTTTCGTACAATATTCTTATAGTGTGTACAGGGCATTAGAATTGTAATCACAGTCCACTTACCTAAACAGTTGCACATGGCTTTAAGAGACAAACTTTACCAAAGTAAACTCTATAATGGAACATTTCTGCTAGATACATATTAAGCTAATACTCTGTTCATCTGACTAAAGTGGAAACCCAACTTATCTCAGTTTTTAGAATTGGGAAAGGTTAGATCCTTTGTCATAATTTATTGCTGTCTGTGTCCTTTAACAGAAGGTTTGCTATTAACGTTCAACTGCTTTCATTTGTTACTACTAGACTACTAGAGAAAGAAAGCAATGTGCGAAACGCATTGCAGTGATTTTATGTTGGTCTTTCAATAAAGCTACTTTTATACATGGATCGAGGATGCTGGATTTACTTCACAAAACTTACTAGCTAAGTCTCGATCTGCACACGTGGCTTTGGTAGGGAAAAGATTGGAGGAGATTCCTGTAGGCTCCTGAATACTGGGATATCTATAACACTGTATCACTTAAAAGTGTTGCCGGGTGACAATAATTATTTCACAGGCAAAACGCCACCATTATGGTATAAAGGTCTCTAAGCCCCCCGCTAAAGCACATTTTTGGTCTGCCGCAGGCAGTGGGGATGGCTGCAGCACCTGTGCCTTCTGGGTGCACTAAAATGTCAGGATTGCACGCACAGCGTGTAGATGCCCCATGTGCGAGGGGCCTAAAACGTTGAGCGTTCAATGGATTAAATATAACATAATTGGTGCTGCGCTCCCCACACTTGTACTTATATAAATAATTAAATCAAAATGAGGTTTCAATTACACCTCTAGTGGATCCTCCTGTGTATAATTATCAGAAACTCAATTCTTCATATTATTATACAATCTTATACAGTGGTGTTTGATAAACCATATGAAATAAAATATAAATGTGCAAAACACAAACAAACACAATACATAAACCCACTTCTGTCCCTAAACAGGGTGAAATCACAAACATGTACTAAACCACACGTGATAAAACACTTGACATAAATGAATGCCCAAAGGTGCAGCGGAAATAAAACTGACAAGTGGCACTATTGTGCCTATAGAAACAAACAATAGGACGATCAGGATAAATTAACCCCGACAGTAAGACAATCTACAAGGACTATAACAAATCCTTCAACATAAATGTGCGACCACCACTAAACAACTGCCCACATGTACCAAAGTGTAAATTGCCGTGCTCTAGTCCCCAAACTTGGGACTATACTGCTATATAAAAAGCAAAAAAAAAAAAAATCAAATGAAATATTGAGTGAATCCACAAATGAAAATCCAGTGACACTCTATGATAAACAAGATGTGTATCAAGATGATGCTCACCACGTCTCCGTCTCTCGTTCCAACTAGTAGTGTCACTATTCACATGACTTCATCAGGAACAATGGCCGTGGTGACAAACTGTG